CAAGTTGCTCAACCACATTTGCATGTTAATGGGTGAAAGCAGTTTAGGGCAAATCGAACTGCAAATAGCAAGTTTTACTCAATAATTTGTGCTGTGGTATTAGAGTGAGGGCTTAGTACAGAAAGAAGAAAGATAATTATTGCATTGAAAAAGATAAATGATTCACTTCTTAGGTTGTTATAGTCTCAGATCCAGCAAGGAAAGAAAACAGGCAAACAGGAGGAATTTTGGGAGTTTCTTACAGTCAGAAGCTTACTAGGAATACCTACAAGACAGGTACCAGTGACTCATGTCTGTAATCCTAGCTACTTGGGAGGCTGAGGTTAGGATTATAACTCGAGGCCAGACCAGGCAAAAAAGTTTGTGAGACCCCATCTCAACAGAAAAAAACGCTGGGCATGATGGCATGCACCTGTCATCCCAGTGATGGTGAGAAGCATAAAATAGGAGGACCACAGTCCATGTTGGCTTGGGCAAAAAGTGAAACCTTATCCCCAAAAATAATGAGAGCAAAAATGGTGGGAGGTATAGCTCAAGTCATACAGCTCCGGTGTAACAAGCATGAACCCTCCTGAGTTCAAATCCCAGTACCACCAGGAAAAAAAAAAAAGAAAAAAAGAATACATATAGAGGACTTCCAAAAATGAATAAGGAAATCAGTGAAATTTTCAACATATATAGCTATGTATTTAGCTCCAGAACAAACTGAAAATATGCAGTGAATTTTCTGAAATAGTAGATTTTAAGGCACCAGCATTGATCGAAAATAAATTAGACATTATGAATGCTGGAAATCTAATGCAGGTCTGTGTAAGAAAAGGATATGAGCCCTTTTTTCTTTTCTTTTCTTTTTTTTTTTTTTACAGTTTAAACCTTTTTATTTTCACAGAGCATCTTTATGGCTAAGAAAACTAGTAAAGTAGCTGAAGTGAATGGATTATTTTGAAAGGGAAAGTTAAAAGAGGATTGTTTTCACTAGTGCTTCATTTATAAAAGCACCCAATTACCAGAAATACCCTTTGTCCTAGCATTGTGACAATTTTTTTTGCAGTACTAGGGATTGAACCTAGGGCCTCTCCCATGCCAGGTGGAGCTCTCTACCACTTGACTCATACCCCAGCTTTTTGTTTTGTATTGTGTTTTTGAGAGAGGGTCTTGTTAACTTTGCCTAGGCTGGCCTTGAATTCTGGATCCTCCTGCTTTCACCTCCTGAATAGCTAAGAATCCGGCTGGCTTTATTTTGAGAATCTTTCTTGGGTACTTTTATAATGGAATAAATGTTTGAAACAGGAACACATACTTTCTCTTAACAATTTATTTAGAAAAGTTTGAATATTTGTGTGAAGTGAAGCTATGAGACTAGACAAATCAATCAGGATAGAAATATACTGATACAGTCCCCAAGTCTGCCGTTCAGTGTCTAACCCAGCTCGACTCTTCCTTTCAGGTGTGGAACATCTTTGAATTCAGTCTTCAATTAGACTAGGTAAGATTGCATTCTGACCCTATTTCTTGTGGGACTGAATTGGATGAACTTGCAGGTCCTCCAACACACCTCCTGTATAATTTCTCTCCTTGAGTGTGGGGGTGGGACTTTTGAATGTGATGAGATATAATGCCATGATTAGGTTATGCTTTATAACAAGAGAAAAGTTTACAGATGTAATTATTGCTCCAAATGAACTACCTTTGAGTTAATCCTAACAGAGATTGTCCTGAGTGGGCCTGACTTAATTAGGTGAACCTTTAAAGGGAACTGGGCCCTTCCTGAAGGAAGAGATTTGGATATGGAACAGCTATGTTGTGAACTGCTTATGGTGGAGTTCACAGGACAGATTTGGTCTCCAGGAGCAGAGAGCAAGCTTCTTTGCATGCAAGAAATCAATAAACTTAGTCCTACAGCCACCAGGAAGTGAATTCAGCCAACAATATGCAGAAACTTCAAAGTGAATCTTTACCTACTTGAGCCTCTGGTGGGGAAGGGGAGTAAGGAGTCAGCTGACATCTTGATTTCAGAGTTGTGAGACACTGAGCTGAAAACCTAGTCATGCTGTGGTGGATTCAACCCACAGAAACTGGGGAACAGTAAATTTGTGATGTTTTAGGCTGCTAAGTTTATGGAATTTTGTTATATGGCAATAGGAGATTAATATATGCACGCAACTTGTTCAGGCTACTAGACTATGACTTCAAAGACAACTCATGACTGGATGCCCTTCGGTGGAAAATGAGCATACCTCTTTGAAGGTTAATGGTGTGCAGCCAACTGCTCCGTCACAGTAAACATTACCTTAACCTGTGTGTTGCAAACCATTTTCAAAGGAAAGTCTGTCTGTGGCTTAGAAAACCAAGAAACTGACTTTTCCAGCCAAGGGTCAAATTGTGCATACTTTGTAGGGACAAAGCAGATATCCCTCTATATTCTTGCCAGTTAAGCTTTTTTTTTCTTTGGTACTGGGGCTTGAACTCAGGGCCTACACCTTGAGCCACTCCACCAGCCCTTTTTTGCGATGTTTTTTTTTTTTTTTTTTGAGATAGGGTCTCACCAACTATTTGCCTGGGCTGGCTTTGAACCACAATCCTGTCTCTGAGTAGCTAGGATTGCAGGTGTGAGCCACTGGCGCCCAGCTAAGCTTCAAATATTTTAACAAGTGCAAAAGATTAGTTTTACTTTTTATGGCAGGGGACAAGACTCTGGGCATTATAGGGAAGTCATTTTTATTCAATATAAGGACAAAATTAAGACATAGATGTGAAAGATCTGGTGTGATTTTACTGAGGTGCCAAGAAGGCAGGGGTAGGAATACAAGGCAGGGAAGTTTGGAGAAGGGTCATTTGGCTCTGAATGAGGTGGGATGTTGAGGAAGAGGACAAGTTCTAGGAAACTGGGATGGAAGGCATCAGTAGAGCAAGGCCAGCCTCAATGGGTGGTTTAAATGCATTATTTCCTCTCATTCTCACACCTATCCTATATTATGATCATAACATAGGGAGGAGAAGTAGGCTGAAGCAGGTTACTCTTCCCAAATCACCCACACAGTAAGTGACAGAGAGGTGACTTGGACTAAGAGCCCTCACTCGTAACCACCAATGTCTCAGTTGGAACAAATGGGAAGATTTCCAGTCTGTCCCTTTGGGTTAGGCAGAGGGGAGTCTTATGCTTCTGGGGGTTGATAGTGCTCATGATGTCAGGAATCCTTGAGCTGGTGGTGAAAATTGAGGGGAGAGAGCTTAAGATTCTTATAATCAATCCTTTCCTAGAGGACACTTTCCCCAGAGGAGCTTGTTTCCTAGAAAACTATCCTTTAGGAAAGATCACTTTCTCTCCCAGGTTGATCTGGTAGTTTCTTGGTAGACAGGTTAATGTTCATTATAGTTCTATTTTGGTTTTGTTGAAGGATTGGATTCTTTACCCACCTGATTTAGTACCTACACTTCTTTTTCAATGTAGAAGGACTTGTCCTATTTTTATGGAGAGCCAACTGCCTTTTGGAATCAATGTCCTCCATTGATTTGGGAACCAACATCAAGAACCCTGAGGGCTTCTTCTCTCACCAGCAATCCTTGTGCTCTGGACTGGGCCATTGTACTTGATTTGGGAACATTCAGTGCTGCACTGACCTCTTCCATGTGCCTGGAAGCCAGCAGGATGCTTGTTCCCATGAGGCAGGAAGGTATGTGGATACTAGGATGTGGGGGGTGTCCAGGGGGCAATTTGGACTCACTGCAGCTTCTGGGGATGGGTTCAGTAATAAGCCCCAAGCCATGATAGTGGATCCAATGCTAAGAACTGCACTGAAGGGCAACCAAACTGGACACAGGGTTGAGGAGAAATGGACACACTACAGGCCAGGCACAGCTGACATGGGATTGCATCTTTCAAAGCCCGAAGCACTGTCCTTATAAAAATGCAAAGCAGATCCAAAAGGAATTTCTACAATCTTTAAAAGGTCAGAGTGAAGCTTAACATTGATTTTCTTTATAATGCTTTATCAATTAGAGACCAGAAGTTTTTTTTTTCCTGATGATATTTATTTCATAAATGTAATTATTTTTCTAAAACATATTAAAATAGAAAACATGTTCTTTTGGTCAATTTATACAAAGAAAATACCAATATAGTAATAAAAATACTGAAAATATATGAAAAGCACCAGAACATTAGAGAAATTACACTGGCAAAAATTCTAGGAATATATTTTTTTTATAATTGTACAATAAAGTGCTATTAAATCCAGTCAAAATTAATGGCAAGATATAAAAACAGTGATGGCATTATGAAACTTGAGGCTAGGTTCATCAGTAAATGTGTTTTAGGCTACTTGCAGATCAAGCTAATGTTATTTCATTAATGTTTTCATGGAAAATCTATTAATTTCCATTCTCAAGTGGAAACAAAAATCTACATCTAAACAAAAGTTCTTGGTAATTTGGTCATGAACAGGTAATGACATAATTAAAAATAAAATTATTGAGCAAAGTACCAATCATAATAATCATTCAAATATAATTAAATAAAACCAAATGAAGACAGAATAAAATCAAATGTAAATATATATTATTAATCAAGACAAGTACAAAAGGTTAGATGCTTTTGATTTTATGGTTAATTTTCAGTAATTCTGGTTAGTCACATTTAACAGACACACAAATATTAACAAGATATGTTACTAAATTCAACTAACCAGACATCAAGCAATGATATTTTAGTGAATCAACATAACTTACATATGAAACATTAAAGGGACACTGTTAGGACATACATTTCCAATCTTGGCCAATTAATTCCTCATTTATTTAATGAGGAACGAAGAGCATACACAAGTACTTTGGGACTGGGTTATATTAAGGCTCCAAATCTACCATGTAAGGGGAAGTCACTGTGCACACACACGGGGAGATACCGTGCACAGTACTTAGGGGGGACTGCAGTACGTTTCACATCTGGAGGTGGCAAACTGAAACAGAAAAACCCAAATTAAGACCAAGTAACACACCAGTGTCCTTTTAAGGTTTTATTTCCTAGGCCAATCTTGAAGGAACTCTATTATACCATTCTTCATACCTCAGTTTTGCAATCAAATTCTTCAAGGTGAAAGCCAACGACCAACAACACTTACCTCAGAATAATAATACATCTCCAAACATGGCTCAATTGGAACTCAAAATTTATTTTACAGGCAACTATTTTTATTTTCATAAAAAGTAGATATACACTTAAACCAAAAGGTACTGAAATTGGTCTTATCAATGTAGAAACAAACTACCTCCATTAGCCTCTGCTTCTGCAAGGTACATCTTTTTAGGAATTTAGGAACCATAGCGGGTGGGTATTATCGTACCAAAGGCAGAATATCATGTAAGCCAATTGGCCCTGATCTGACAGTTTTACAGTCCATTACGAGTTCTATTTTCCATTCTCTAAGCATAGACCTAGCACTTGAGCTTCTAGGATTTGGTTTTTTCCTTTTCACCCTTATAGATATTCTAATCTTTTGTACATTTCCTTCTCATGGTTGATTTTTTGAACCATAAATTCATTATACTGACTTTTCTCAAAAAAACTGACTCACAAAAATGTTATCTAATGGCTTTTATTTGGAAATGAGGGTGAAAGTGGTATAATTTGTGGTCCACATAGAGACTCCCCTGATATGGAATGAGGGTAAGGAACAATGGAGAACCAGGCATTTTAAAAAATTAGGCAAAAAGTTCAGTGTCCAGTCATAATGGACAACATGATACTGCATAGAGTTGATGGCAAAGGTGGACCATTGGAGAGACTTTCTTTCTGGGCACAACTAACAGACTTCCAAGAAAATCCAACTGTACTTTGTTTTCCACGTTCTACCAAAATGAGAGTATTCATTAAAAAGTCCAGGATTAATAAAAGGCAGGCAGGCTGTTCAGGAACACTGAGAAACAAAGGCTAAGGTGGTTTGGTGTTAAATAGGTTTACATTCCAAAAGAATATTGACTATCATCTGGAAGTAATTCTCCAAATTACAAAGTCATGATTACATAACTCTGTTTAAGTATGTTTTCTTTTTTAATATACATGTTCTTTTATATACATAGTATAGAAAAGCTAGTAAGTTGGCTCAGCTATAATAATTCTATCATAAAAAAGCAGATTACATTTTTTGGCAGAACAAAGCATGTTACTTATACTTTTCAGTTTCAGCTAAGTATTTACATGATAAAACTTAAGCTTTAAATGTACTTAAATCAAAAAGAAAGAATAAATTATATTTAAACTATTAATTTATACAATGCATATACCTTTACTTATTTTCCTAACTAGCTATACTCTCTAATAATCTGTCCAGCATTTCTTTATTCAATTTATTTTGAAGACAGGTATGTATGGCACCATTCTATGTGCTGCCTATTTTGTTTTAGGAAGCACAGATGTGCAGTATTTTTAGTAGCTTGGTTGAGAAGTTTTGCATCTGTCACTTTTCCAAATAACAGATGAAGAAGCCTTGTTTTTGACCAGGCACCACTTCTTTAACTGTACAACGAATAAAAGAGAGAGACAACAAAAGCAAGCAAGAGCATTGTTAAGGCAATTAGCAGCTGCTGGAACCAAATAGAACGCTGAACTTGGTCTTCAAGCTTCCTATTGCTTTCTAGTAAACGATTGAGCTGAAGAGGAAAAAAGGGATGGAAGATTTTGATCAATAAAACAATCATTAATCATGGGAATGACAAACAGGAATATTAGAAATCCAAACACTGAAGTCATGGGGCCCATTTGCTCTGAAAGGCTAGGGGCTAGAAATACAAGGAGACGTTTGATTTGTTTGGTGGATAGATGTGTCTCTACTTACTCTTACTTTGAAAGGTCCAGTCTTCTAGTTAGATAGAAGCATAGGAATGACTTTCTGGAGGTACAGATATTCTCTGGTATCTCTCTCTCTTTCTTTTTTTTTTTTTTGATCTCTTTCTTTTTTGTGGTGCTGGGGATCAAACCTAGGGCCTTGCCATGTTAGGCAAGTGCTCTACCACAGAGCTACATGCCCAGTCTCTTTCAAATTTAAATATACTACTTAGTACCCCTTTGTGCAAGATGGAATTCTTTGATACTCACCAAAGTACCTTGTGCTTTGCTATTTGGTCACTATTCCAAATTAAAATGGCCAGAACGTTTAAAAGGTCAGTAGATTTCCAAAAGCAACCCACCACTTACCATTTCTGAATTTCTGATTTGGCTTCTCTTCACAAAGAGAGCACTCTATGCTAAAGGTTTTCCCTTATGTCAGTGGAAAAAAATGGACTTTCAGTATTGATTACCATTCACAACTTGCGTTAGTTGGGATGAAAGCACACTTACTTGCAGGTATAGGTCTTCACTGGTTTTATCTGACATGTTAAAAGCATTGTCTTTTAACGTAAGAGTGTTTGGTTTATTGCTCTCAATAGTATGGCATCTTAACCTATGGAAATCCAAAGGAAACATAACTGCTTAAAAGCTTTAATGAATTTTCTTATGAAAGTACAATATACAATGGAAAAAGTTAAACACAGGAGCCTATGTAATGGAGATAAAAGGCCTCAATCCTCTAAGTTCCAACTAAGATAGCAGCTCAGTATGTATTTATCTGTTTGCTTCCCAACTTCTTTTCTTGTGGTGCTAGGGTGGATCCAGAGCCTCACACATGCTAAGTACGGACTATACCACTGAGCTACATGCTCAGCCCTCTTCTAGCTTCTTAATGCATGCATAAAGAACACAAGAGATTGTGGCTACTGCTCAATACCCCATGGGATTCAATGGGAAGATTTTATATGGGATTCCGTAGAAGTAATCCAAATACCTTACAATGTGAAGGCAGCCATTCTTTCTACAACGCATTACGGTGCTTTACTTGGGCTTTCAGTACCAAACCACTAGGATTCCCTCCTACTTTCTAGGAGAGAACAGTGATCCCCTCTTGATAGTTATAGAAAAGTAAGCTATTAGGAACTGGTAAAATCCAAAGTAAAGAAAAGCAATGAATATGTAATAAAACCAAAACAAATATCCTCATTTTGATGATCTATTTCATAAAAACTTCAAATTAATCTCAAATACCTTTTATATCAGTGTTTCTTAACCTTTCAAAATTTCCCCATAACCATACTTTTGACCCCCAAAAAAAACCCACCACAAAAACTCTTTAATAAAAACAAAAATGGGGTAGGTGTGGTGGCAGAGGTGCATCCTCACAACCCCAAAATTCAGGGCAGGAGGATTTCAAGTTTGAGGCTAGCCTTGGGCTAACATAGTGAGACTCTGTCTTAAAAACAAAACAAAACAAAAATTAGGCCTTCCAACAATATAATTTGAAATTTTAAGTATATACTTAACTCATGTAAATACAAGTAGAATGTCTGCTTGGACTCTGACCTCATTCTTTCCTCCCTGCCACTCTGGAATTCAGAGAATCTGGTTCATCCCTTGCAGCATTCTTAGGAAGAGCACAGCCAATGATTTACCTTGTAAGCCTGGCCTCAGTCCTCTAATGGTCCTAGAACCCTTTTATTTTGCTTGCTCTTTTGAGACAGGGTCTTACAGTGTAGCCTAGGCTGGCCTCAAACTTGTGATCCTCCTGCCTCAGCCTCTTGAGTGCTGGGATTACTGGTATGTGCTCCCATACCCAGCTTGCTTTTGGTATGTTTTGCAGGGCTGGGGATGGAAACCAGGGCTTGCACATACTAGGCAAGTGTTCTACCACTTAGATAACACTCCCAGCCAGTTTTTTACAACAGTGTTCAAATGTCTTATATTAAAAACCCCAAAGACAAGCCCCCCATTCATCAACACCACATTCATACTTTCAAACACCCTACCCAGTCACATCTCTAGTGCAGATTTGCTGCCTCTTCTCTTCAGCTTAGGTTCCTCTCACCTGTGTGGTTCCTGCCACAGGGAAAGTGCTCTCTCTGTAAGGTCATCTTTAACTTTGTGAGGTCACCACCACTGGGCATTATCCACACCTCATCCTTCTTTACCAGCATGGCAATGTTTGGTATCAGTGGTCACTTCCTAATTAGTGACATACTGTCTTCCCTGGGCTTTGATGACCTGACAACTCACTTGTGGTTTCCTTAGTAACTTGCTACTGGATTGTCCTCCTCCATTTGACCATGAACTACTCCTCCAGGCTAGGTCTAACTTTTCCCCTTGGCTGAGATAACTGAAATAACACTTGTCTTCCTCCCCCACCCCCACCATGTTCTCTTCCATTCTATTAACCATATCACCAACAGGGTGATCTTTTATTAAAGGCAGGTCAGATGGGGTTTGTGCTGTATTGCTGGATTTGTGATGGTGATGAAGCTCCTCCCTGGCCCTTTCCTGCCCCTCCCACTTTCTTTGTTACCATGGATCATCTCACTCTTCTGTTCCAGCCACTCTTGTATCCTTTCAACCCCTTTCCTGAAGATTTTCCTTAGAAGTGACCATTAGTTGGATTCATAGATTCTCATCTCTAAAAGGGGAAAGTCCCCCTCTTTCTCCTAAGGTGGTCTTTGAAAAGATGAATAGCTTGCCCCAGCAGATCCCCCTAGTAGAGATCAGTAAAGCCAATACAAGATGCCCCTCCACCCCAGATGCAGGTGCAGGACCAGATAAACAGGATGGGGGCACATGAAATGTGGGCTGGGCGGGTTGTGAAAGACGACCAGATGTACGTGCAGGACGTGTCCTGCCTGCTTGCTAAATGTAACCGTGCGCGCCAGTGCTGACCTTTGAATCTATAGGCTAAAAAGTAATGTGCTTTTAAAAGGATAGGCTAAAGGTGTATGTGGTGTTACAAACTCATTGGCTATGTACTGCACGGGCTTTGCTGTAACGGCCAGTGAGGGCCTACATAAGATTTTCCCCAAAGAGGCTCGGGATCTGTCTGCCCAATCGGACCTGTGTGTCTGTGTGGGAGCATGACCCTGGCTTGCCAGCCCAATAAACTCTGCTTTGTGGATTGCATTCACGTGTGACTCTCTGTCTCTCAAAGGAATAGGATCCTCGGACCCTAACAGTCTTCATGAATCCATGAGTGAATGAAAATAAAGCATCCAGAACTATGCTGGCATGCAGCAAGCATGACCTCTGCTGCATGGCTGCTGCTGTGCCTGCTCACTATATATTTTTCTACACGGCCCCAGAAGGATCACTTAAGAAGATGAGTCACATCAGCTAATGGCTCTGCTTTGCACCAACTAATGGTTTCTCCTCTCAAGTTCAGAAGTCTTCAGTAGCAATGACCTAGTGTTTGACGATTTCTTTGATCCATCTCCTACCCCTCTCCTTACTGTTGTCAAGGGACATGGACCTCTTTGCTATTTCTCACACAGGCCAAGCATCCTTTTTTGCTTTTCCCTCCCCCACAAAGCCCTTTGTAACATTACCAATGTGGATTACTCTCATTTCCTTAAGGTCCTAGTCAAAGTGCCATTAGAGTAGTCTTCCCTAACTACACTAGAAACCAGTGTTTCTTACCTTAGCACTACTGATATTTGGGGGAACGTGATTTTTTGGGGGTAGAGGCTGTCCTGCATACTGCAGGAGGTTTAATAGCATCCCTGTCTTTTCCCCACTAGGTGCCCATTGCACCCGTCCCTGAGTTGTGACAACCTAAAATGTCTCTAGACGTTGACAGATGTCCTCGGGGGAACAAAAGTGGGAACACTCCAACAAATCATAGTTCCAATAAAAAAGCAACCATAGTAAAACAAAACTGTGAAATGGCCTTCTCTATTCTCCTTCTTTTCTCTCTCTATATCTTTTCAAAACATTTGTTACAACCTTACACATGTATATACCTATACACTTCCCTTTTAAATAGGATATTGCCATACATATTTTCTTTTATTAGTTTCTTCTCTAATAATATATCATGGATATATCTCTTCAGGTCAGAGTACATGGACTTATTGTACTTTTTGAATGGCTGCAGAGTACCTGTTACCATAGATACATTCAAATGTATCTCACTATTGCTTTAGTGGTGATCACTTAAGTCCTTTCCAATTTTTCACTATTACAAACAGTACTGCAACAAACATTCTAGTACACAAAGTGAGCATTCCTACAAGGGAAACTTCCAGGACAGAGATGTACATGTGCACCTTGGACATACCAGTCTTAGGCTGGCATGCCTGTGAGTTTCTGTTATCATTGATTCCTTGGGCATCCCCAGTATCTGCCAGATGAGAGAAGGATCTTTCTGATCCTTCCACCACACCCAAGAGACTGTGAGTAAAAAGCTTACCTATGCTCCACCACTTTGTTTCTGGGAACTTCTTTCCAGAACTGAGTCAATTCTGCTGGCCCTGTGCCAGATGACTGCTCCATTTCTGCAGCCATTATCAGAAAGCGGTCTTGGGCAGAGACTGTTAAGCCTGTATTCCAAAAGGGTAATTGAACATATAAACAGGAATCTTATTATATCTTATCCAAAAGGGGTTGGATATGTGGCTTAAGGCATTTTTTACAGACTACAACATGAAGGAAAAATAAAAGGGAACTACGTTAAACATGGAAAATGTCCTAATTGAGAAATTTTGGTTTTTTGGAATCCAATTCCAATCAGGGTCAGTTTAAACAATTTCATTCATTAAAAAATAATTACATTTTAGTTCTGGAGAGAGCTTTGGAGACCCCTTTGACCATCTCTTTCACAGGTGAGGAAACTGATGTCTAGAGTGAGGCAAGGTGACGTCCTAATAGTCCGCTGATTTCTAAGGTCTAGCCCGAAAGCTCTGCAAACTCAGCAACCAGTCCCAGGTCCCCACCCCTCACCACACTTGCTGTGGCCACCAAGTGACAACTCACCCCCATGTGGAGATACAACTATATCAACAGATGCACCAGGGTCACAGTTACTGTTGCTTGGCTTGACTCTGTATTTTTCGGGAGCAGTTGTTCTCACCTGTTTAGAAACACAGTAGTCACACAACAACCTGTATGATAATGACCTGTATGTTTTTTTTTTGTGGGAGAGGCAGTGGCTTAAGAATGACCAAAAACACAGCAGTTAATAATCAATGAACAGTCTACAAAGTAAGCTCGGTGGCTATGTATAGAATGTATTTGTCCTTACCAACAGGACAAAAGCATCTACACCTACCTAAAAAGATATTTCTCAAATTAGATTTTTTTCAGTACAGGGGTTTGAACTCAGGGCCTTATGCTTGCTAGGCAGAAGCTCTACCACTTGAGCCATTCCACCAGCCTGATTTTTCTCTTTTGAATACTGTCACGTAAACTTCCTCTTAAATAAAAAAAAAAAAAACAAAAAAACTAAGTGATCTATTAAATATTTATCCTGTCTGCTAACAGTCTGAACTTAATGATGCAAATTCACAAAATAGAATGAACATTAGATAACATGCTGAATTACTACTCAGAAATTAAAAACTGTTCATAATCAGAGCATACCAGAACATTTTAGCAGTTATATTTAAATTAAATAGGAGATTAAAGAAAGGAATAACTTTTGTGTGGGTGGTGGTGGATTCATTCCTGTCACACTATTTTTTCTGAGGTATGAGGATAGAACCTAGGACCTAGTGCATGCTAGGCATGTGCTCTACCATTTGAGCTGCTGCCCTAGTCCTTTGGTTGGTTTTTTTTTTTTTTGAGATAGGGTCCAGCTAACTTTGCCCAGGCTGTCCTCAAACTTGTGATCCTCCTGTCTCTACCTCATGAGTAGCTGGGATTTTAGCCATGTGATGCCATGCCTGGCCCTTGTTTCAAATAATACCTACTATCAGGTTAGTTATTCAAAATAAACTACACTCTAGAATATACTGCACATAAAGAAAAGTGCACTTTCAATTTTATCATTTTATCTTTCACTGTTGCTGTAAAATAAATTATTCATATAATGAAGAGTGATTTTCTTGGGCTTTTATTTACAACAAAATTTAAACCTCTATATTAATTTGGACAGTAATCTATTACTGTGCACTAAAGACTGAGATGTAGATCTCAGGGAAAATTTTAGATAAGCTTGGGTAGAACGAGAAGGCAGTATAACATACCTAAAAATATCATAAATAGAAACATTGTGTGCAAGTCCAGTCTTTACAGGAGATCTTTCATTGTTCAATTCCAAATCACTTCCCATATCACATTTTCACACATATTTTTATTATATCTTTGAGATAGTTACCTTAAATGCCACTATATTTTTAGTTACATTTGTCAACACTATTAAAGTTTTCTTTTCTCCAGATTCTGAACTTCCAAAATACAATTCTTCCGCTGGGCTAGGTGGTGACAAAAACATAAGGCATTTGCATTACTAAGAATAAATGAAAATATTAAGCACTAGTTGAAAAAAATTGGTTATTATTTTATGCTCATTTGTATAAAGAGATTTCCTTTAAAAAGAAGACTATAAAACAATTACCCAACACAATTCCGTATTTTAATCTTACTGATCCAATACATGCTACTTAAGAAGACTTGTGGTTTTCCCTAAGGTCAAAAGCAAAATAGGAAAGAACAGAGGGAGAATTAGGGGAAGTCTGAGTTAATCCTATAATTAACACAATCTTAAGGTGCATTTATTTAAACTCTTGAATGGCTATAGATTAGAATCAAAGCATTGAAGGTATCACTGTTTCAACTTTCCCTAATCACAGATTAGAACAATTCATATTTTTACACCAAAAGAGAAGAGCATAGCTTAAAAGAAAGATCATTAGGGATGCCCTTAAGTAACAGAATCACTTCTTACTATACAATGGCCTTTCTATGTCACAGAGAAGGAGAAAGACACACAGAAATATTTTTGGGGTAGGAGCTGAAAGAAGAACATTAAACAGTAAAATGCTTGAGCTTCAAAGTTCAAATTTTACTACTACTGGCTACTGTAACACCCATGACCTAAAACAAAAATTTAAAGACATGAACAAAGTTTGTGTAGCTTAATCACGTTAGTCCAATTGCATCAGCTGCTTCAAAGCAATGGAAGTACATTTTTGGGTGGTGTTTCTGTTTTAAATAAAAAGGACATTTGAACCCAGGGCTGCACAAATTTGTCAAGAAAGTGCTCTGCCACTTGAGCTATGCCTCCATGCCTTTTGGGTTTTGAGACTTTGTTTTTGAGAAAGGGACTTGCTATCTTTGCCTGTTTGGCCTCAAAGTCATGATCCTCTTGCCACCACCTCCTGAGTAGCTGGGATTAAGATGTGCACAACTGTACTTGGTTCTATTACTATTTTTTATGTACTTTCAGCATGATGTGACTGTAGCTTTTTTTTTTTTTTTGCATGGTACTGGGGTTTGAACTCACGGCTTTGCACTTGCAAGGCAGGTGCACTGGAGCCATATTTCCAGCACTGATTGTAGCTTTTTGAAATATGAAACCCCTGAGAGATCGTACCTTCTAGACGAAATACAGTACTTATAATTTTAAAAAAGGCCAATGACTTAAGTAACTCAATGTTCAGACAACTATAGATTTTGAGACACATCTTTAAACTGATTCATTTTACATAAACAGTGTGTGCTCCTCAGGGATGTTCATTAATCTAGAGAATACATATTTTTAAGGAAGAGCTGTCCCAGAAGGGATAATGTGGTAAAATAGCATGGCTGATGGCTTCCTTTTGGAGCCCAATCCTAAATAAACCACAGAGAAGACAGCAAGGTTATAGATCTCAGAGTTGCTGTCAAAAACTATGAGTGGCTTTGGGGAGAATGACACCAGTTGGGTCCATGTACACATGTAGGAGCAGCTCTGTGATCTGGCTGGGGGTGCAACCAATGAGGTCAGAGCCAAAGTATAGCCTTGAAAGCTGTCCTGCTCCAGCCTGGCTTTTTTCCTAGTTTCTCTCTTGTCAAACTGCAATGGTGGTAGACTAGGACCTATGCTTTTGACAGGCCTCCCATGAAAACATGGAATGGATGACTTCCTAATTAGTAGAGGAAAAATGAGAACAAACAAATAAAACCCAAACTCCTAAGGGGGAAGATGGCAAAGAGAAAAACACGGGAATCAGATTTTCTAAAAAGTTGTATTGTTGATATGAGATATACCTAAAACAGAGTTACACAGGAACATTTCAAGTAAGTAGACAGAAAATGCTACATTACATCATCATTAATGAGGGTTTGAATAGCCTTATTAATATAAGGCTAAATAGATTTACTAACCAAAAGCATCATTGAGAAAGAGGTCTTTAAACAATACAAGAAACAATCCTAAATCTACTTTTTTTTCAAATGCTGGGGATGGAACCCAGGGACTCATACATGCCAGGCAAGCACTCTACCACTGAGCTACATCCTCAGATCCAAATTCTATGTCTTTTGGATCAAATAACTAACAACAGATATGGAGATGTGCTGAAGTGAGGCTTTAGTGAAAAATCTATTTTTCTAGTTCAATTCTGGCTTTTAGAAGGTCAAATCAATAAATATCTCTTTCAGTGGCATTTCTGGCACCCCCTACTTGTGTCAGTTGTCAGTAAATGAGAAAATTATATGTCACTTGGATTTATTAATATATAAATATTCACTTTTATTATCTAATATGTGATGAGGGCCTTTCACACACAATGTATGGTTCCACTATGTCTAGAAACCAAGGAGAGTCTTCAGATAACCCATTTCCACCATTTCAAAGCAGTACAGAAGTGTTTTCAATTTTGTACCCCCCTCATAATGATCAAGATATGTTACAGCAGTATAGCTAATAAAACCTATAACTATTACCTGATGTGTAGTAAGGGACCCTTAAATACGCTCAGTGGTTTTTTGAAAGCTTTGATCTTGGAATCAGGTTTTTCATTTTCATCTGCTTTGGAAGTAGGTTCACTTGGATTAGTCTAAAGATTAAAAAACAAAACAAAATAAAATGACAAAACGAGAAAAGTTAGACATTTTAGTTTCACACTGATAGTTAGCCAGGTCATTAGGCCAACAAATAAACATTATTTTGTTTCAATCCAAATTATAGTCTTTAACATAGATTTGTCATGTCTAAATGATAGATTTCGCATATGTTAACATGATCATGAACATATATTTGAGTGTCTATTATAAACAGGTCACTGTTGAAAATATAACATGATCCTTTCCCTAAGAGTCTTTAAATTTGTTCTAAATTATAGCATTATATCTATCTATCAACCCCCCAAAAATTTGTAAAAAGAATGACAACTAAGCAAACTTTAAGACAATGAGATAGATCAGGGCACTGGTGGTTCACTCCTGTAATCCTAGCTACTTGAGAGGCCAAGATCAGGAGGATGGTAGCTCAAGGCCAGTCCAGACAAACACTTTGCAAGACCCAATCTCTAAACATAATCAGAGCAAAATGGAGATGTGGCTCAAGCAGTAGTGTGTCTGCTTTGCAAGCACGAAGCCCTGAGTTCAAACTATAGTCTCACCAAAAAAATGAGATAGAGAGGAACTAGATCAAGGTAAAGTTTTAAATTAATCACTTTTACTTTTTATTTTGGACAAATAAAAAACACTTTAGACAAAACAATTTCTTCCAGATGTACTTTGCCAAGTTTTATACAAAGTATGGGCTCAGCCTTTCTTACAAAGAAGCAGTACCTCTCATCCACTCCTCCCATTCTTCCGTTTTCTTTATGCACACAAGGGTGAACAAGGGCAGCAAGTAAAGTGAATTATCCAAAATACTGTAGCCAGCTAGTGGTAGAATTGGGGCTAGACCACAGCTTTTGACTCAATTTATTTTAACCATAAAATTACCTTTTTAAGAAGAGCTGTTTGCTCTTCATTAGAAATTGTTTCCAAGGTTTCTTTACCATCACTTTCTATATCTTCTTTACTGGAAGTTTCATCCTCACTGGTAATAGGCCCGTTCTCACACAAGGGTGTCTGGAAGTCATCATCCACTAGTGGTGGATAGCTATACTTGAATGGATCCTAAAAAGAAAAGAATTTTTATATCAGCCTGCTAATAGGTAGGTAGAGAAAGAATTCCCTTATAGTAGAATTAAAATTCACATCTTTTGCTGAGAAAATAGACTTAATTAGGTAGTGAAATTTAAAATATAGGAAGCATTTCAAACCAGAAATAGAAAGAGCAGTAGGCAGTGTAGGACAATCACAAACTATCCATCTAAAAGAATCAAGTTAGGTCTTTAGGTCACTCTTCATACCAAAAATAATTTCAGATGGTTAAAACCTTTAAATGTGTGTGTATATTCTTTAAAACCATAAAAACACTAGAAGAAAATAGCAGAGGATTAAGAACAAAAACCAAACAAATAAAAAACCTAAGTAGGGAGCTGAGCATTATGGTTCACTCCTATAATCCCAGCACTTGGGAGGCAGAAGCAGGAGGAATGTAGGTTTCAGGCCTGTGGCAGACACATAGTGAGTCTGAGCTAGCCTAGGCCCATAGTGAGACCCTATGTGGAAAAAAAAAGCCAAACAAAACAAAACCAAAAAACTCTAAGTAGGGAAGGCTTTTCTTCACATAGCACGAAAGCTAGAAGGCATAATAATAGTAATTGGGTGGGAATATAGCTCAGTGGTAGAGTGCTTGCCTTATATACTTGGGTTCTATCCCCAGCACTATAAAACCAAATCAAACCCCAATTAATCAATCAATCACCACCATGACCACCAACAAAAATAACCCCACTAGCCAGGCACAGTGACTCATGCCTACAATCCAAACTACATGGCAGGTGGATATTGGGAAGTTCATGGATCAAGGCCAGTCAGAGCAAAAAGTTAGTGAGACCCCCCCCACCAACAAAAAAAGTTGGATGTGCTGGTGTGCATTCATCTAAGCTAGGTGGGCAGGAGATGTAAGTAGGAGAATCCCGGTTCAGATCAGCCTGGGCAAAAAACAGTACTAAAAAATAAGAAAAGCAAAAAGGGCTTGGGGTGTGGCTCAAGTAGCAGAGTGCCTGCCTAGTGAGTGCAAGGGCCTGAGTTCAACCACCAAAAATAAAAAAGAAAATGAAAGCAAAAAACAAAAAACAAAAACAAACAAAAAAACCCACTAAGAATAAACAAACACAAAGGCATAAAGTTTTTATTTTTAAAGGCCACAAATGGAAAAATATGCTCCACACATATCAGAAAGAAATGACAGCTTTTGATAATGTAAACAAATTAACAAGTAAAAGACTAACAACCAACCAAAACAAGCTGGTATAGCATTCATAGATAAACACTTTCTCCTGAATCATGAAAAAGTATTCAACATCTCTTATACTAAAAGAAATGCAAATTGAACACATAATAAAGTATTTTTCACCTAAGACTGGCAAAAATTACAAAACTGAGAATATGTGGTTCTAGCAGGGATATAGTTGAAGTGTTTTCATACTTCATAGACAAATGGGTACAAAGTCCTTAAGGGAATTTAGCCATAGCTACCAAAATTAAAAACTAAATATACCATTGATCCATTGATTTTACTTCTAGGACTTTAACCTGTACATGTACTTGCTGTACCCATATACCAGATGTAGCAGTATTAGTAATGGCAGAAGATTAGAAAATACTAATGGTCCTTCAAAAGAAGATTGAATTATGTTAAAAAATAGTATCCCTACTACCATTTTGAATACAGTCCTCAAAATATATACCACTAACAACAGAAAGGCTGAAATAAAATAACCTTTCACATGTAATAAAAATAATTTCACTAAATGCTATTCATTTTATGGTATAATTTAAGAGCAAATTATTAAAAATGACACATCAAATAAAATTGCTACTACAATTTTGAGATATTTTTAGAACTACATACTATGTGTAGTACTTGGAATGAATAAGTTTTTTTTTAGGTTAAAATGTAAAATATAAAGCCTCAGAAGAGGAAAACATCAGACTTCAAATTAAAATTTTTGGTTCAAGTCTTTTCTAATCAAAGGAAACAAACAAACAGGAGGATACACCAAAACTTTTCATGTTGCTAGTGCTTGCTTCTTGTTGAATACAATTGTGCTAGACAGGCAGTATACAAAGTAGCTTGATAAAATCAAATAAGTGAAATATTATCAAGTTAACCCAAAACATACCAAAGTCATAGGCGTTACAGTTTATTAAAAATCACATCACAATAAGTTTCATTGTTATGTAATGTTAATTTTTTTGAGGCAGAGTCTCACTTTGTAGCCCAGGTTGGCCTCAAACTTGTAATTCTTTTGTCCCAGTCTCCCAAGTGCTGGCTGGGATTACAGATTTGTACTTCCACATCCAACTATACTTTTAAAGTTTTATATGTCTCCACATACTATTGATCTCTTATTTGTAAATAATAAAAATCAGTTAAAAAAATCTTATAGGTCGAGGTAGAGCACTTGCCTGGCATGCATGAGCCCTTTGGCTTGATCCATACCAACACAAAAATAAAACAAAGAAATGAACAAAAAACCCTGAAGCCTTGACAGCATATGCTTAGTATCTTTTAAATTGACAAGACAGTTGGAACAACAAAAAACTGGAAGAAAACTAATGACACAACAAAAGGAAATTCAATAATTTTGGTTCATCTTAGATACCAGAATACCATGCAACCATAAACAAGAGTAAGGAAGCTTGCTGCATATTGATATGATCTCTAAGACATACTGTGAAGAAAAAACCCACATGTGCAATTGTCTATAAATACACTACCTGTTTAAAAGAGTTGGAAGAATTAGATATACTTACTTGCCTAAATATGCAATACACATCCCTGGAAAGTAACGTGAGAAATGCAACTGTGGACCAGAACAAGGTAGTTGGGATAAGAGGAGGAGGAGACATTTTATTGAAGACTTGTTTCTGCACACTCTCCTGAATACTCTTCTGTTTAGAACCATGTAAATATTTACTGTGATTCAAAAAATAAAAATTTAAGTTTAAAACTTAAATGAAAAATTCTTTACCCTTGCTTCCTATTTTGGGGGTTATTTGTCATCTTTCTTTGGATGTTATGATATTGCTTTTCCTTGAGGAAAGAATACAGTCTATTGTGCCATTATCCAGTGTTATTTCATAAGTAAGTCGCAAGGACTATACTTACAGTTCCACCCATGTGGGGAGGCAGGTATTCTACACTGACATACTCCTGGACTTCGTTTTTAGTTGTAAACTTCAACAAACTCACTGCTTCTGGGCCAAGCCAGCTTTTCACAATTTTGAAAGCAGCTGAAAAAAAACCAGTCATTTCATTAAAATCCTTTTTCATTCTCTATATCAATTAATTTGTTGTATTTGCTAACCCAGGTCTTCTGAAACTATTATGGGCTATAATCTATTAATATTTCTCTTTACACAGCATGACACTTTTAACATTCTCTAATTCCTGTAGGTGTTTCTAATGTGACTGTCCCTTACAGGTTTCAAATGTTCCATGAAGATTAAATTACCCTGATGTTTATTGATAAGCTTATCAGGGTTTTAGCCTTTGAACATGTCCATCAATGATCTCAACTACTACTACTACTAGATACTGAGCCAAACTGTCATGTGATTCAGGGAACAAGTGCACAACAGTTTGAAGAGTTGTTTACCTTATGGTTCTGACCAACTCTCAATATGAAAAACTTTCAAGGACAAGGCAAGAAGAGAAGGAAGTAGCTTTTCTCATTATATGTGTGAGCACTGGCCTTAGACTTCCTGATGCTAAGCTTCTCTGCCTTCTTCCCAGGCTCCGCAGTTTATATAACCATGGAAGAACTTATCTACAAGAATAAACTTATCAAATACAGCTGTTTGGTGATTACAATCTTGTCCTGTCATGCCATTTCTTATTTATACTTAATTTTTAAACCTCTTTTCTAATGTGACATTCTAAGCACATTTTTAAGAAACTAAAAGCAGAATACTGCAAAACTGTCGATGGAAAAAAACAGAAAAGAACAGCATGATAAACATTAAATAGTAGTTCAGAAGTTTATATTTTACTTTGGCTTGTTATAAGTGTTTTTACATAACATTTAAATTTTTCATTGATACCAATTTTAAAAGTTTGTGAGTTGACAGGTTTGAAGCTATGCTACTGAAATTAAATTGCTAAATCTGAGTTTTATAACAGTTCTATTGAGATATAATTTATAAATGAAGCTAGTTGTGGATTTTCATAGATGCCCTTTATGAGGCCAAGGAAGTTCTCTTCCATGTAGTGAAGAATTAGCCTTACCCAGAGAGGTCTGGTCTTTGCCCTCAGCTTCTGGGAGGTAATCTTCATGTCTGGTAGGGTGGTCTTTGTTTTGGGGCCCTTGGATTATGCTGGAACAATATGATTTAGAGTGGGGGCTGGCCATGGCAGAAAGACCAACATGTGATATAAGATGGGGGATTTGGGTCACACTGTATCAGTAGATCTCTGGCCAGACTGGAGACTAAGATCAATCAAGAAAGTGATCACTCATGTCTATGTAATGAAGTGCCAATAAAAACTGAACACCGAGGCTTGTGTGAGCTTCTGTGGTTGGCAGTACTCCATTTGCATTGCCACAAGGCAATGTAACAATATCCTGTAATGATGCCAGCAAAGTAATGTGCTCTATATATCTTACTTCCTTTGGCTAATTTTAATCTAAATTCCTTCTGGGTAATAAACTGTAAGTATAATAGCTTTTAGCAAGTTCCAAGTCCTTCTAGTGAATTATCAAATCTGAGGGTGACTTTGGGAATTTCTTGAATTTACAGTTTATGTCAGAAGTGAGGGTGGTTTTTTAATAGATTGCTGTGGTACCCTAACTTGTGGTTGTTCCATTCTTATACTTTCTGTTCCTAGTTTGTTAGGTGCTTTTATCATGAGAAGGTACTAGATTCTGTCAAATGCTTTCTCTGTGTCTACTGAGATGATCATGTAGTTTTTCCTCCTTCATTCTATTAATAATACAGATTATACTGATTTTCATATTTGGAGACAATTTTGCATTCTGAAGATAAATGCCAGTAGGTCATGGTGTATAATGCTTTTAATATTCTCCTAGATTTGTTTTGCTAGTACTTATTTTTGGTGGTGCTGGGGATGGAACCCAGGGCCTTGCACATATTAGGCAAGTGCCCTGTCACTGAGCTATACCCCCAGTCCTAGTGCTTTGTTGAGGACTGGTGCATCTATATTCACAAGGTTTGTACTTTCTCTGTGATGTTTGGTGTCAGGGCAATATTTGCCCTCATAAAATGAGTTGGGAAGTATTCCCAGCTCTTTTACTTTTTGGAATCATTTACAAAGGATTATCATTGATTCTTCTTAAAATATTTTGTAGAATTTACCAATGAAGCCATCTGGGCCTGGAATTTTCCTTGTGGCAAGGATTTTGGTTACTAATTCAATTTTGTTATATTTCTGATCCTTCTTGAGTCAGCTTCAGTATTTTATATCTTTCTAAGAATTTATCCATTTCATCAAGATTACCTAATTTCTTAGCATACAACTGTTTATAGCATTCCCTTATAATCCTTTTTAATTTCTGAACAAATTATGTGTTTCTTCTTTATCAATTTAGTGAAAGGTTTGTCAATTATGTTGAACTTTGCAAAGAATCAAGGTTTAGTTTTGTTGATTTTTCTCTACTGCTCTCTATGTAACAATTAACTTTTATAAACACCAATAAAATGCAGATTTGGGGAATAACATTAAATTTACAATAGCTTTAAACTTGGCAAAACACTTTACAGTGGCTTTTTAAAAAAAACTTACCAAAAATATGGTTGTCGAAAGGGCCATTTGATTACAGTGATTTATGGTAAATTTCAGATTTATCTGATTTTGTTCCTCAGTACTTGAAGCTCATGAGAAAACCTAGCCAGAACCTGTGTTCTGTGACATACCCTATCTGTGGGTAACAAATCAAGGCTTCTCATTACCTGAATAGTTCACTATTTCGAGGCTGGTTTTAGAAAAGATTAATGGGTACCTCGAAGTCTCAGGACAGAACATCAGCCCCATTTGCTTAGGAATGACCTTTGCATATTCTAGTTCAAGCCTTGTAAGAATGTACACTAAGTACCATCCAAACTTTTTTAAAAAAAAGTAAGAAAAAGGAAAATCAGATATTGTATTTAAGGAAAGCATAAATTATATACTCACCATTCATTATCCAAGGCATATCATAGATCACTATTTTTGCTGAAATATGAAAAAAAATATTCACTGAATGCAACTTAGTACCTCCATAGTAATGTCACTTATACCTGCCTAGGAAAAAAAATGTTAAGTCAAAACTGAGCTGGTTGACAGAGTTCTAATTCAGGGCAGTGTTAGTGGTGCTGGGACTGAACTATTAGCTCACAATGCTCAGGTGGATGGCTTGTAGGAAATCAAAAATGCTCTGTCACTGTTCTTTGCCAGATAGCCTATATCTTTGGTCATTTTCTGCTTTTGTTGCTTGCAGAAAGGTATAAAAGAAAATAGTTAAGTGGGTAAGTGGAGTCTCTGTATATGGCATGTCATACTAGGGCTGAAGGCCACTGAATTTTTAAAAACATGTCCATGTCTAATTTATGGTTCCAATCAGAATTTTCTAGAAATTACACTGTTAAACTAGTCTCATAGTTGTCCTCTCCATTTTTATTAAAGTGTTATGTATTAAGAAACAAAGATGACTACTTCTTTTAAAAAATATTATGAGCTCTAGGAAGCCAATATTTTCTAAAGTACATAGAAGTATTATTTATGCATTGAGCCGAAGATATTAAACAGCCATTTCAACAATTGTGAGAAAGAACTAGAAACCACAAAGGGAATTTTCGATATTCAATTCGTTCCTTTATTCCAGATGAATCAATATGTAATTTCATTCTTTCCCAAGCAGAGAACCTCCTAGAGTGGTTATATTATGTAAAGTACACAAAAAGGACAAGGTATCAGTAAAGATGTGTCCTGGTGCTAATGCTTCAGTGTTCAACTAGGATATACTTAAGATATAATGGTTATATTTCATGATGGATTTTGAAGAAAAATCAATTTGACATTCCACAAAATTTCATGTATGCAAAAACTACACTATATTGGAGGGATATGCATATTATCTGGGGCTAACTGAAATGCACAGCATTCCAACTTATGTTCATATAGATCCATGAATTTATGAATAGTTCTCTTAAAAGAATCTTGGACAAGTTTTACAAAGTAATCATGACATTTCTATTATTTCTGTGGTTCTTTGCAAATTCCTTTAGATATTTCAATAAACAAGTATCTTATTTCCATTTTGTCTGTAAGAGAAGCTAATACCATGAAATAGTGATTCCCTGCTAACCACTCACTGCACTGCTCAACAAGTGCAGGGTACATGCCAGAACCTGGACGAATTCATAAGGAACAGTAGACACTACAGGTTTTCCAGCCTCGCCACTGCTGGTCATTCTCTCTAAAAACATTCACAAATACTTTCTCTAAAGAGATTGGAATACAGGGCTAGGGTGGCACTGCCTCTCAATGTCCATTATGATTTTTGTCTGTTCTTTGCTTTCTATTAACAATAATATGAAAGCATGCCAATGTAAGATGATTTAGGTGTTTCTGTGCTTTAGTGTCACCTGAGTCATAAGTCCCAAAAGACCCTAACTGCAGTATTTGCCAGGAATATGCTAGGCAGATCTGTGAATTTCCATCTTTTCATGTCCCTATTGCCTTTCTTCTGTCTTTTCACTTTTAACTCACTAGGGTTAAATGTATTTGACTGTTTATGTGGGCTGACAGCTTGTTTTCCTTAAGGGAACCTGTCATATACATCCAACAAATCAAAAATGAGTATATAAAGGTTTAGGAGTCTTCATTCCAATAATTAACAGAAGAGTTACAATTAAAAAAAAAAAAGCAGGGCTGGGAATGTCAGTATTGGATCAGTGGTAGAGTACTTGCTTAGCATAGGTGAGGCCCTGGGTTTTTGTGAAAGAAAACAAGACAAGACAAGACAAAAACAAAACTCCAAATGCCAGATTCAAATGTAGTGTATTCTGGCCAAGTATTTTCTTAATGACATTTAAAAATAGCAATTATTAACAGACTCTACTTTACACATCAATATTGCTAACAAGTGTATGTTCTCATTATTACTTATGTGTTCTTACAGACAAGAAGTTCCATATAAGAACTTCCTTGCTATTTTTAATGAATTACTAAACTGAAAGATCAGTACATATGGGCAAATCTTTTTGTTGTCACTGTTTTGCAGTACTGGGGATTGAACCCAGGGCTTCTCACATGCTAGGCAAGAGGTCTACCACTTGAGCCACGCCTCTACCCCTTTGTTTTGTTATTTCTACTTTTGAGATAGAATCTTACTAACTTTGTCTAAACTGGCCAGGAACTCTCAATCCACCTGCCTCTGCATCCTGAGTATCTGGGGTTATATGCATATACCACCACACCTGGATATAAATTGGCTACTCTTGTAAATAAATGTGTACTGGTATGCATTTGTGTGTGTGTGTGTGTGTGTGTGTGTGTGTGTGTTACAGGATGCTATATATTTTAGAACTTAAACTCTTAGAACTGTAAAGAACAGTGACTACTTAGAAACTTTTCCCCTGTACCTACTATGATATGTACTTACATGTCTATCTATGAACACATTTAAAGCTCTTCAACAGAAAACAATGTTTTCGGTATGGAAGTCTATAATAATATAAGGCTTTATAATTCTCAGACATTCTCTACAGTTTCAATAGATTATATTTTTATAAAGGAGTAAGTTACTTACAGAGATATTTAGGGTAATAAACCTTAAAGCAGTTGATGATAAAGCGTACAAAGTCCATGTCCTAAAATAAAGATTAAATCTTTAAGACTGTCCACATTAGAGAACTTTAAGTTGCACATTTCTAAAGGTAACAAACTATTAAATACAAGTGAGACAATTATGAAGTTCTTAAGAAAATGAGCTCATCCATAAATATCTAGATTCATAAGGATTAACCTTAATCCTTGGGTCATTAAGCTATTTATAAGAATTAGCCCTAAAATTGACTTGGAGAAATCAGATACTGAGTGGTGTACTTAAATTATTCATGTTACCTCAAACTAGTTACATACTTCAGGCTGCTAAGGCAATAGGGCACAAAATGGAAATAAAAGCAATCCCTACAGAGAAATTCTAAAAATCTCCAGAAGAACTGAAGAATTTTGAGACAAGTAGACCTACAGTTTTTAAATGATGACTTGGAATAATATGTATGGATATAAATTCTGGTATAGCATTTGCTTTCTAACTCTAATTTTTATACTTCATAATACCTTCAATAAAATATTTATTTTATTAATTTTTTATATAACAGCTGATCTGATCCCAGTGACCTTCTGTATCTACTTTATTTCTGGCTTTTTTCCCTTTATTTAGGGACCTCAGGTTAGTTTTTTAGTTCATATTCAAGTGTTGCTCATTGACTCCAACTTCTGAAAGACTTTATAAACACAGCTAGCTGGTTGTTCAACTGCTTTGAGCACAACAACAGGAAATTAAGTCATTAGGGCTATTATTCATATTTCATGCCTTATTATTCCATGGTCACGGGTTGTTTAATCCTGATCAACTACCTTACTAAGACAGTTGGATGAAAGACATTACCAAGCAATTACTGAAGGCAGGATTCCTAGAGATGAAATCTATAAAGTCATCCCTAGCATGTGAGTTTCAGAATCTGCATCTTAAGTATTTATTATGGAATAAATCCTGGTATATATTAATACTTTTATAAATAATCATTATGTCCACTGTGCATAGTTTCATAATTTGTAGTTATCAGTCAAAGAAGAAAAGCTGTGAAGAATTAGTTATAAAAAATTTTGATTAACTAGTTTATAATCTGTGATCCCCCCAAAACTATTCCTAGTCTTCCTCTAATATTCTTATCATCAGTTATTTAATTGAATATCCTTGCTTATATAATCCTGAGTTAATGCTAGTTAGGTGGATTTGATAGGATGCCAAGGGCATATGTATGTCAGTGGGTTCTACATAAAATATCTCCTAAAAACTATTGCTCTGTAACAGGGTGCATTCCTTTTTGATGAGCTATCATGTAAGTAGCTTGAAAAAAATTAGACAACTCCAATCAATTCCCTGCCCCTATATTTGGTACTAGAAAACTTACCATTTTATTTTTCATGATCGTGGGTTAATAAACAGGCAATTATCATACCCAAAGGATAAAAGAATCATGATTTATCGTTATAGAATACTTATTTATCTAGGTAACTTGATTTTGATTTTTCAATCTAAAATGATTTACTCTGTAATTTACAACCCATTCACATGGAAACCAGGTTGAAAAATCCAGGGCATTGAATTCTTAAAAAATAAGGAGAAATAGAAACTTGAAAAAAATTTCTGTGGCCCCACTACCCCAAAAACCTCTTGATAATAGTTGTCTTTAGTCTGCTTTTTGTATGAACCTAAGATTTCCTTTTTGGGGCTATATATCACATACTGTAGTAATACAGACTTTTCATTATCTAAGGTATTCTCTAATATTACTACAAATTCTTTCTGAAAACCATTTTATATAGCTACATATACTCCACCACTTAGATATGCCATAATTTATCATTTTAATATTGTTCTAATTTTTTCACTTTTATTGAGACAGGGTCTTACTATGTAGCCCAGGCTGGCCTTGGACTCACGATCCTCTTGCCTCAGCCTCCTGCATGCTGGGTTTTTAGGCATGCACCCTAATGCTAGCTAATTTTTTCACTGTTTTAAATGACACTCTGAAAAACACTGTGATACACAACGCTTTTTTCTGTACTTGGGATTATTTTTTTAGAACAGATTTCCAGTACTTAGTTACTATGATGAGAATGAATACAAAGACTTTAAGGTTCTTAACATATTTCGCAAAGAGTTAGACTTTCCTCCCTTCCTTCTTTCTTTTGATCAGGTTGCTCAGGCTGGCTTTGAACTACTGGGCTCAAACAATCCATTCCTGCCTTGGCCTCCTGAGTAGCTGAGACTATAGGTATGTGCACCACTGCACCTCGCTATTTAACTTATTTTTTTAAGCTTAGTAAAATCACCTGAAGAAAACTGGTTTCCAAAGCGAATTAAACCGAACAAATACATCCAAATAAGCAAACAAAAGTAGCCAACAAAATCAAAGCACTGTGTGTACAAAATTCATGTGAACATCTTGCAATTGCAAAATATAATATGAAATATAATGCTACAGAGATTATAGATGTGTTTACTTGGTATTAACAGAATGTACCAGGCACAGGTGTAGGTGCTATAGGAGATTAGCCATGACAGAAACATTCACTGTTATCACATAGACTCATGCCCACCAATCTTGATATCTTACCTCTCCATCCCATGTATAAGACATTTCTAGGAAATGTCAATGCCAAATACTGAAGCAAATTTAATTCTCTGTTTGGCTTCACTCATAAGGGGAAAAACTAAATCCCAAACATACGTTGATTAGTACCGTTTTATGGCAGTATTTGGTTGGCAAGCACGACAGGAAAGAGAGACGAAGCCAGGATAAACAGTGATTTAGGATAAGTGAAAAATGCTTACTATGCTATTTAGTCCTGTTTCTGACAGATCAAACATCACCGTTAGAGGTTTCCCATTTTCTCTTTTAGCATAACGTTCCAACCAGAATGCTATGAGCTTCTTTCTGTCCAATATGGTTTTCTGGTCTTTTATATGGTACTTCACCCTGATCCAGACTTTAAGCAGAACAAAAGATAAAATAAGAACAAGATTTATGGCATTTTAATATTGCTTTTTATATATAGCCTTTCCCTGGACATGTTTCTTCATTTATAATTCATTTTGTTTCACAGATTAAAAACATCTTTCCTTCTTTTAAGTGAGAAATAGTTGCACTTGAGACTTTTAAATTAAAGAGTAGCAGAGAGGTAAACTATTTTTCTCCCCCTTAGGAAATAAACACACTTCATTTTTAAGTAAGGGCAAAAAGAAAATGCAGGTGGACAAACGCTTTTTGGTAATAACCTGAAAGTACTTTTTAGTGTGCTAAAAAGAAAGCCAGTGGTTCTGACAAGCACTAGAAAAAATGTTCCATCCATAGGAAAGACACTGAAAGAGGTATAGTGGGGGCTTAGGAGTGTGTTGTGAAGGGGAGTGGAGTATACAAACCCTTCTAAGACAAAATGTCATGAGTGGCAAGAGCAGACACTGAATAAAGACAGGGGATGGACTCTGAATGAATTACAAAGACATTTTGATTTTCCTATTTCAAAACACCTCTTGGGCTGTGGCACAGAGGGTAGAAGAGGCAAGGAAGAGAACCTAACCGGCTATGACCTTAGAATGGATAGAGAACAAAGGGATGGGAGGCAGGGACTGAACTGAGGAAGGGGCTGGTGAAGATGGAAAAAGGGCCAAATTGAAGCTACATTAGAGGAAGAGCCAGTGAGCTGGACTGAAATGGGCAATACGGAAAGAGGGCAAGTGGCAGGATGTGAATGTTGAGTTGTGTGTAGTGTTGAAGGCAGATGACAATCAAATGGCACCAGTGAGTGGTAGCTGGGTATGTCCTTGTGGCCTCAAGATTGCCTGGGATCCCCACCATGCAGGGGGAGGTGGCTGAAGCTAATGTGTTTGACATGACCCGAGATGGTATGAACTGCAAAGCAAAAGAGGGTAAGAAAACAATGAAGCCTGGAAAACACTTTTAAGGAATAGGTCACAGAAAAGCTCTGAGAAAAGAATGTTGAAAAGAAGGAAGCAGAGATAAGAGGAAAATGCCATGTATTATCCAAATGCAGTACAGATCGAAAGCTAAAGAGAAAGCAAGCAAGATGAGCAAGGTCTTCCCACCCTTGTTACAAAACCAAGCTAGATTTGAGGCAAGTGGGAGGGAAGGACAAGAGAATCATGTAAACAATGGAGATGAAAAAGCTAAGGGGAGAAGACTGTGGGAGACTAGGACAACAAGTACATTTAGTAACATTTAGTGACTATCAAAAACAAATTCTCTGTATAATACTGGGTCTAGTGTGAACAACAAATTAGAAAGAAGATAATGAGCCTGAATCCAATTATTTTAGCTGTGTTACAGGATGTGTTACTTGCTTTTACTGCCTACTTTATTAAAATGCAAAGAGCAGCCCTAAGGATAGATCCCTAATTACAGGAGACTTGGTGTGTGCTACACATGGAGAAAGTTCTACTGATTATTAATTCAATTGAGATAGATACCTACACTTCAAAAATCTCAAAAAGTCAGTGTATAAATTAAACATACTTACACAATTTGTTGGCTTCTTTGTCATAACCATGGAGATAAATACCACCAATTTCTAATAACCATCTGGGAATGGAGGATTCACTAAGGTCTAAAAAGTGATAAACTTTGATCAGTAATTGTAATTTAGGGACTTAAAAATAAAACTCCTAATGTAAAGGTAATGATAGTAGTTGTGAGATAAAAAAGATACAACTTATTTAAACATCTGGAAAAAAGCTCTGGTAATAAAAAATGGTGTTTCCTACTGAGGAAACAAACCATCAAAGATAGACAGGTGACAGAAATGGAAAAACTTCATTTCCTTTGACATGATATGTCAGCCATTATTTCTGTTCATACATTTCTACATTCTGGTTGTATTTCACATGACTTGATTTGCAAATACACATCACTTTTAGACAATTATAAGCCTTGGATTCAATTCCAGGCACAAAAAGGGAAAAAAGGAAAGGAAAAGAAACAGAAAATATGGTAAATATTCACATAACTTCAGAACAGAATTAGTGAAAAAAATCACTTTGGTTTTCTAGTAAAATGGTATTTTTCTACAAAGATTGATACCCAGTAGACTCTAATGCATTTTATAACATTGGGGTAGGAAGAAAATCCTTCAAGAAAAATGCAAGATCTTTTATCAGGAGGAACAAAGGACCTACTATCCAGTCTTTGGGGAGGCTGATGACCAATGCAAGTCAGTACATGACAAGGCTTTTGTTTTATTCACTGGCAGTTTTCCAAGAAATTTCAGAAATTTCTCTCCTTTCCTTGGACTTTATCATATCTCTGCTATTCATCACCAGAAGTTGAGCTTAAAAGTTTTTTCTGTACTTAAATTACTTAAAATACCAGATTTATATTTTTTGCTTGATTAACAAATGCTTCACTGTTTGCTGAAATTACCTACAGTTTTTGCATTTCCAGTCACTTTATTTCCTAGATACTGCCCTTCTCCTGGACTCGTTTTACAAGTATGAAGAGTGAGGAGAGCATCTATTTGTTGGCTATTTTGTATTACATCTTTACACTTAGTCACTGCAGAGTTTATAATCTTCAAGGACAGGAGATCCTTTATATTTAATTGAAACTGGTAATTCTGCCGGCTTCTTGACATTAATTTTTAGGAGACAGATAACTGGTAACCTTTCCTGTGTAGAGTTTGTCATATACTTGAAGAATGTTATAAGACTTCCATTTTTGGGATAAATTTCAACCTAGTAGTGGATGTAGAAGTTAAGAATTTAAGAGAATGTTATAGTAGGCATCCTTGGGGATAAGCTTGCTTTTCTGGGGTCCCCCTTCAATGAGCAATGCTATATGAAGCACCTATAAAGCATAAGGAACCCTGGGGATAAGGAAAGACATGGGCAACAACTGGGACAAACAGGAAAATGGTACCTCCTTATTTCTAGACCTAGTATCGAAGATGTCATCTTGTTGCTGTTTTGTGACAATGGCCCAACCCAGATTAGGTGATTGTACTGTCATGGAAGAATGTGAGTTTGATTCTCCCCCCTGGTGATCTGATTTCCTTATGAGTGAGCCTACTTATAAGATTTTTTTCATAAGCTGTTCCTATGAAAGTATTACTGGGTCTTTAAAAATAATTATATTCTGGTATTTATGACTGTCAAGAATATGTGCAAATCCATGATTAGATAAATATAAAGCAGTGACATTTATGCTGGTGATATGACCTTGTCAAGGTTAAATTGAAGGGCTTACCATTGACAGAAAATTCTTTCCTCCACTGAAAACTTTCATCAAGCATCTTCAGTGTTTCATCTACAGCATTATGTCTCCAACATAAGTAACTTTCCACCCAGTTATCATCTTGCTGTAGCCTTTCAACATCACGTGGATCATATTTTTCTGACTTATCTAGGGGGGAAACAGTAATAAACATCCAAGTAAGATTAATTCTGCAGCGAAAAATAACAAACACTAATGCCAAAGGAGAAGAAAGATATGGAAGACAAGACCAAGCTTTTTGAGGACAGAGATAGGGATGCAATTTAGATGAAATAGAATTTAAAAGATTGATGGACTTCTTAAGCAATAGGAGAATAAAATTATCAAAGACTGCAGATTTTTGATGAAATTAGTGCCTTCGTAATCCAATCACTTCTCAATAGTATCAACAGCTAAGGACCAACTCTTCAACATATGAGCCTTTTTGGGGGGACAGTTCATATCTAAACCACAATATGCAATATTATGGATTTATTATTTTCAGACTCTGAGAACAATATTTTCAATACTTTGAGTAATTATTTACAATAATTTCTCATAATTTGCCTACATATGCTATATTTCTACTAACCTCTATACCAGATAGTCCTCCTTGCATGCCCAGTTCTATTTTTATGTAGCTGGACTCTTCTAGTCTGTGTTCAACCACCTATGTGTATCCAAATTCTACCATGCTGCAACACTCTTCTCAGATTGTTCCTGTGTCCAGAAGTAATTTCTTTCCTCTTATGACCACCAACAAAACTTGAAGTAAGCCTTTCTTAAGGCAATTACCAGTTTTTACCTTGAATTATAATTACTGGCATGCAAACAGACAGTAAAGGCCCAGACTCTATTTACCCTGAGAATCCTCCAAAAAGATGTCAGTCCCAATGCAAAGGTCTTTGGTAAACGTTTGCTGACAAATCTACTGTTTCAATTTTCAATTCTTCAGCTATACATACTCTCTCAGGGGCCCAAGCAGAAAGCTCCAGAAAATTCCCTGGCTCTTTCATTTCCTTTTCTTTCACATCTAGTTAGTTGCCAAGTTTTATACATTCTACCTCCTCTCCATTGTACTGCCTTTATTTCAGGTCCTCAAAGATAACAGCCTAAAGGGCAAAGAATATAAAGTGTATTCTGAGAATTATATTCTTTGAGTCTCAATTTCCTTATCTTTAATCTGTTTTACATACACACAGTGCTGTATAAGGATCAGATGAAAAAGTACATATGAAAGGACTTGGAAAATTAAAATACTATGAGACCATAAATCATACACTTGTAGAGTATCATCTTAGATATGATTTTTAGTGTCTGGGCTCTATTTTTCTAACCTATAAAATGAGTGATTCTGTAGTACCTTAAACCTTGCAAAAAATTTTAAAGCTTTATTATTAAAAAATTCATCAATAGTCAAAACTCATTTTTTCTTTAATTATAACTAGCAGTAATAAGAATAAGATGGATGTACAGGTGCTCATATAGTCTCTTGTCCCCTGAGGAAGGACCATTCTGTTGGGTTACTGGACCAAAAAAGCATTTTCCTTGAGATTATAGGTTGACTTCATTCATTTCCAAGAAAATTTCTGACAAATTCACAAGTCTGCATAACAATAGTTTACTTACCAGTCACTCGTTCAAATAGAAATGGTAGTCTATGAAAAATGTGATGAATTCAGCTGGCAACTCAAATATATTTAGTATACAGCTGTGTTTTATGTGTACTTCCCCATTTTCTCACACAGAATACTAAAAGGACATGTCCTCAAAGGTCAAGATTTAATAAAATTTACTGTATTATAAGGGACTTTGTAAAATAAAATTGGCTCTTTCTCCTCTGTGAATTTTTTCACTGACACTGAAGACTGCAATGATACTCCCCTTGATTCGGGTCATGGACTCAGCAGTTTTACCCATCATTGCTTCATGTAATCAGTACAAATGTCAATGCAGTGAAAAAGGCAAATGGTATCTTAAAATTATTAGGAAAATAGTTTTGACCTCACAGGCTTCTGAAAAAGTCTTGGGTGTCCGCTAAGGTCCTAGACTACACTCTGAAAATTACTTACTTAGAATAATATTTGGCAAGTGGTAAAAACTCTGTAAACATTATCAGATAATAAAATAAGAAAAATAAAAACACTATTGTAATTGTTAACATTATTACTACCACTGATAGTGCTATCACTAGGGAGAACATAAAAGAGTGCCCAATACTAAGAAATTTAAAGCCCACTGCCCTTTGGTAGATTTCAGGGATTAGAAATCTCCACTTATACTAAGGTGATTAATTATCACTGTTAACAGACATGTATTTACACATGAAATGCTGGTTCTTAATCATTTTTTCCTGAACAAATGGAAATGAAATCAGAGAAGGAAAAAAGATACCAGAAGGAATTGACTTGAGAGGGGACTATGTGGGGTTTGAGACAGAGAAGCAGGAGAAAATTAGAGGTAGAAGGAGACAGAGAACAAGAGGATAGAGAAAAAGGGTGAGAAGGAGAAAATAAGACAGAGAAGAAAAAATGAGGGAGGCAAAGGCAGACAGAAGATGCAGAAAAGAGAAAACGAAATAAACTAAACATTCAAGATAAAGACAACGTGGCCTACCACAAGCCAGAGGGCCATAGTTAAGTGTGCTTATGACAACATAGCCTGTTTTCATATACTATTGCATTCTGTGAAATATCTAAATTTCCTTAATAACATATCCTGCTTTCAAACACAGCTCTCAGACAACTGAGCCCTTAAGTGATTGGGAGATTTCAGAAAACCAGTCTTTTGGTAAGTCCAGATGTGCTATGGTTTGAATCCCCCTCTCCAATTCAGGTGTCACCAATGTGTTAGTATTACAAGGTGAGTCCTTTAAGAGCTGATTAGGCTCTGAGGGCTTCTCTCATTAAAGGGAGTAAGGCCCATATAAAAGTGACTTCAGAGAGCATTAGCTGGCTTGTCCTTCCGCCTTCTGCCATGTGAGGACTATAGCAAGAAAAGTCCTCACCAGACAACAATGCTGGAGACTTGATCTCAGATTTCTCAGCACGCAGAACTGTGAGAAAATAAATTTGTTTTTCATAAGTTACCTAGTCTCAGGTATTTTGTCATAGCAGCACAAAACAGACTAAGACAAGATGCTGTGGGAACAAGATAAAAGATGTGTGCTTAAAAGCTAGCTGAACATAAAAAAACAAGTGTGCATATACACAGCTAGGACATCATTTGAAAGAATTTACCTATGAATAATCAAAGTGTAGAGGTGAAAGAGGGCTTAGTTTTATATATATATGTATGTAGGTATGTATTTGTATATACTTTCATAATACTTTGTCCTTATTACTTTCATCTTGCTGTGGACCACTGGAAACTTCATTGCAAATCAAAATTAATTTTAGGTGGTTAGCCTCGCCTCTGTTAAATCTTCTTACTGAACTATCAGCATACCAATAGTTCATTGGCCCTTTTGACTGTTTATTTGCTCTTATAAACGTTTTGCTCTGTAAATTGGTCTTATATTTATACAAGGGCTTTCCCACCAAATAAATTGTAAAGTCCATAATTTGGCAAAGAAAGAACTAAAGATGCATGGCAATGGTGAGTCACCTCTAGGAGCAGACATTAAATGTGCCAGGGTAAAGATTATTTCCCCCAGCTTTTCATCTTTCTCCTACACGCACACACTCTTTAAAATGTAAGTGCATAAAGAGACTGTACTTCTTATTTGTAAAAGAGTGACATGACCTACAGTGACATCAGAAACTATGTTTTAAGGTTAATAAGTGTGAAATTTCTCATCACATTCAGGATATGGGGTAGGGTGATGGATTCAGAAGACTCTTGCTATCATGTATAGAGAGACCGAGCAAGTCACTCTGGGTCTTATTTTCTTCTCTTAAAATGCAAATAAGGACCGCCTACCCATAGTCTGTCAAAGATGATGAACACTGAAAAATTTAAACACTACACAGATGAATTCCTATTAGCATAAGGTACAATGCTAACCATGATAGGAAGACTAAATTTAAATTTACCAACTAGCTAACAAGTTGAGAAAATTTTGGAAGTATATTGTAGTTATCACAAATGTGCCTAGACTTCATACAAAGGTTATGAAAATATAAATGTATCCTGATAGTGAAAATTAGAGAACAGTTATTAACTGGGCATCACAATGTTCAAAAGTAGCAATCATACAACTTTAGATCACTATAGTAGTTTAAAGACATCTTCTGAGTTATTTCTCCATGATTCTTGAATATGGATCCACTGAAAGTCTTGATAGAGCCTTGGAAGAGCATTTATATTGAATGGACTATTTCTGTTGGCTGGACTATCTAAGTATCAACAAGTGGAATGATCAGGACAAAATAACAAAATGTTCCCTCAAGAGCATCCTTTGTTAGTTGGTCACAATCTACCTCGAATCTCCACTTATCTGTGAAGCTACTAGCAAGACTGAATGACAGGAGACCTTTTATGATAAGATTAAGCCATTGGCCTGTAGGAAGGGTCTGTGAAAACATGGATTACTGGGTTCTACGTCTAGATGTTTAATTCTGGGTGGAATCCAAGAATCAGAGTTTGTAACCAGTTCCTTCATGTTGCTGCTGCTGATATAGGGAACACACTCTGAGAACTGTTGCTCTACTGCAGGTGTTGGGAAAACTTTTCTGTCTAGTGCCAGATGGTAAATATTTAGGTATTTTAAACTTTGAGGACCACAGATGTCCTGTGTTGCTGATTTTTCCTTGGTGTGTGTGCGTGCTTAACAGTTCTTTAAAAATACAAAACATTCTCAGTTCGAGGGCTGTACAAAAACAGGACTTTGCTGATCTCTGGTGAATTGTATGGAGCGGAGTGCTTTCTGTTTCAGTTGATATCTTTCTAGACCTAGAATCCTTAGCAGAACTGAGCTTGAAAAATGAAACTTTCAATACCGTTCTCTAGGTCCTCATCAGTCACCAGCCAGTTACCCAAACTAATTAGATATAATCGACTTTGTCTATTCCTACAAATTATGAACTCTGCTTCGAGGCCTCCATGTGACCACACTATCTACAATCTTTCAGTTAGCTCTTCTTGGTCAAATGGAAGAATGATGGCCCAATTTCATTAAAGCCATATGCTAAGAGTATTCTTGGAAAACG